TTTCTATCTCAATTTCCACATGTCTATCCGCCTTTCTGTTTCAAATCTTTATTAACGTCTCCATTAATCATATCTACTTGTCTCTTATTCTCTGGCTTTAAATAACCTGTAAAGGGTTGATAAACCGTAGAAAACGAATTAATTAATCAATTAAAGACTATTAGCACTACTATTACTACTACTCATTATAATGACATCAGTATTAAAGGAACTCAAGAACAAAATCAGCAAAATCTCTGGTGCACCATCTCTCCAGAAAATCCAAAGAATTTTTCTAACAAGCAAATCCCATATGCCAAACGTGCGTATCGCTTTGGCCATTTAAACTTTTTCTTTTGGTAATAGCCGTCTTTTGTTTAATTAAGTTGTAACAACGACAACAAAAATATCACGCTCTTCGCTTGACCTTGGCATGTAATTATACAACAAATGCAGATAAAAAAAATAGTTTTTTTAAACAATGATAACTGCAACAAACATAAAATTTGGTTAAATTAGAAATATATGATAAAGAAGAATAACAATTTTATTTCAAACAAAATAATATCAAATAGAAGCTTATACTTTGAATCAGAACGAGACAGCAGAAAATTCTGGGACATATAATGAAGAAAGACGGCTTAGAGAATCTGACACTCACAGGACATATACAAGGCAAGAAGGAGAGAAGAAAGCAGGGTAGAACAGGGTAGAACAGCGATTAGAAGAGATAGCAAAATGGCAATTTTACTAAGACCTACAAAGTACAAGAAATTAGAAGAGCCATGATCCTGAACGGACATGCCGCCATTGAAAAGAATAAAAATAAAAAATGTTTCTCGGAAAATTAGTTGTACTGCCTCGTCAGTCATGTATCGAAAGGCAGATTTTTTTCCGCAGTAGGTTGCCATTTCTGTCTGCGGTAGACCAGTTTTCATCCAAGGACATAGAACCCGGTCTGTCCTGCTATTTACGCATAGTAAAGGTCACTCTACTCTGTGAGAAGGCATAAATCCACCTTTTCTTCTCCTAGCTAAGAGTTGAATAGTATGGTAGACCGGGATCCACCGGGATCTCTAGCTTTGTTTTATTTTGTAAATCATATCACCCCAAGCAAGGCGGTAATCCCATTGTGATACAGAGGGTTACATGGTGTGAAAGTCAATGAGAAAACTTCAGCTGATGGGAGAAGAAGATCATTCATACCTTTCCCAAGGGTATTAGCACGTAAGTGAATGTAATGGATTCGACTGGAATTCGAACTCGGCTCTCCGATTCCTCAATCCAAGCCGCTATTACTCCACCTCGCATTCACTCATTACAAGACCCAAGAGCTAGTCAAGGTAGAGGGTTACCAAGTGAGGGTTTTGTATGGACGTAACAGGAGGAAGTAAGTGTATATTATGAGAATATTTTTTTAAACATTTCACCCCAAGCAAGCCTATAAAAGCTACGAAGATATAAGCGAAGACTGAGAATGAAAGAAACAGAGACGGCAATAAAAGAACAGGGTTTAAGGTGGCGGTTGAATTTGAAAATTGAGATTGAAAAAAAAAAAAAAACAACGACATAGGATTTGCGTGTCCGTTAAGGTCGAAATATACTTGTTTGCGGTACCTGGTGTTCCCAGGGGTCTCCTCCATATAAGCATTGACCGGTCTGGACGCTGCTTAATTCCGTTGATCGAACGAGAATCGGGTTTTCAAGGAAAGCAGAAAGCCGGAAGAGTTTTCCACGCGTGAAGTGTGGAAGAATAAACGATTAGCATGAAATTTAAGGTCACATCTAGCAACTTCAAGAGTAAAATTATGAGACCTAACTGCCAATATAGTCAGTCAGTCAGTTAAGTGCCATACGTGATATACGTGCGATCATGTATCTTTCGATACATGACTGACGAGGCAGATTTTTTTCCCGTAGTAGGTTGCTATTTCTTTCTGTGGTAGACTGGTTGCCAACCAAGGCTAAAGAACCCAGTCTGTTCTGCTATTACACCTATAGCTGGAGGAGAAGAGATGGATTCATACCTTTCCCAAAGATATTTGTATGCAAGTGACTCTAACGAACTCGACTGGAATTCGAACTCGGCTCTCGAAGCCAATATCGATCACACCACAATGTGTACTTAATTTCGTGAAGTCGCGATATCAATGACGAAAACTCATCAGAAGAATCACTTTGATAATATTTATAGAAGAAGCAAAGGCCAGATACGTTATATCGTTGGGAAAGTCACTAACACCGGTATGCCATGTCAGGACTGATAACGTTGCAGATTTTTCTTTGGATTTTGTCAAGAATCTATGTAGGATAGATAATAGTTGGCACTATACTAGAAAAGGTTAAGATTGTATTTACCGAGGAAGCGTCTTCTTGAAAGTATGTACCACAAAGTAGTGGTTCTCGGGAAGAGGCTGTTTGAGTAGTACTTCCTCCTTACCAATGGAATACAAAGGGAATAAGGACGATTCGACCCTGTGTACGTAGCAAAGCGGGCCCTAGCTGTAAAGGTCACTCTAATACCTTGTGAGAAGGCATAAATCCACCTCTTCTTCTAGCTAAGAGTTAAATAGTATAGTAGACTGGAACCTCTAGTTTTTTTATTTTTTAATTCATTTCACCCCAAGCAAGGCGATAGTGACACAGAGGGTTAGAGGTTATGAAAGTCAATGAGAAAACTTCAGTGAAGAGAAGTGAGGAAAAGGACAATAAAGGAACAGGGTTCAGGAAGACAAAAAATGGCGACTGACATTGCATTTAAATTTTTGAAGATTGTAGTTATCAGGGAAGCAAGAAATCGGAAGGGAGTTTCACAGGTGAGAAGTGTGAGAAGATAAACTATTAGAATAGAAGTGGCGGTTGCATTTATCTAGTCCAATAGTAAAAGGGGTGAGACCTAATTGCCAATCAAGTAGCACACTTTAATTCATGCACGAAGAGAAAACCTCATCACAAACGTTGTCATGCAAATATTTGTGAAAAAGACAGAAGGAAGACACGTCATGTCATTGAGAAAGTGACTTAAGTCGAGAAGATGGCGACTGAAGTTGCATTTAAATTTTGAAGATTGAAGTTATCAGGGAAATAAAGAAATAGGAAGGGAGTTTCACAGGTGGGAAATACGAAAAAAGAAACTGTTAGAGAAGAAGTAACGCTTGTATCTCGCTCTTTCAACGATGGGACCTAATTCCCAATCTAGTAGAACGCTTAAATTAATGTAGTGGGCGCACCAGGAAAAAAAAGCTTATCAGAACAGTTACCATGAAAATATTTTTAGAAAAGAGAGGAAAGATAGGTTACATCGGTGAAAAATTGACTAAAGTCTGGATCAATTACATTACAGATGTAATCTTTGGATTTTGTCAAGAATCTCTAGATGTACATCAGGAGTATCAGATATGGCACGGTAGAGTAATGGATAGCTATTCGGATTAAGGAATCGGAGAGCCGAGTTCGAATTCCAGTCGAATACATTGCATTCACTTACAATACCCTTGCGAAAGGTAGGAATCCTCTTCTACTCCACCCAGCTATGGGTAAATAGCAGGGCAGAATGGGTTCTATAGCCTTGGATGGCAACTAGTCTACCGCAGAAAGAAATGGCAACCTACTGCGGGAAAAAATCTGCCTCGTCAGTCATGTCGTAAAAAGCATGGTGCATAACTGACTGATTCAATGCACGGACAAATGGTAGATTTATAAATGTTCAAGATGGATTCTGGAGAGAAAAATTTTCTAGCACAACATTGTGAACCAAATTTCCTTGCAGTAGACGAAGGAATTACTTTGATATGGTCACTCTACTTCATGTCAGTGGAAAACGTGAGACCAAGAAGGAGTGTTGCTCTCCTAGAGTTTAGCATCAGCCATGTTGATGGATGGCAGAAAAGATTCTCTGGGGTGATTAAATGAAAGTAGTTTTGATTTGGAGGCATTAAAATTTGCAAGCCATTTCTGGTTAACCATTGATTGGCGGTCCTTTTCAAGCGCAGTTGAGAGTTTTACGTTGTTGGATCTGTTGAACTTGCCACTAAGACAGGAGTCAATGGTTGTGTCATCTGCATAAATGCAGCGCGTCTTGTGGAAGGATTATTCTGAATTCAAACCCGTGAAGAAAGCAATGGAAATTCACTCCGTTATTTTCCCCAAGAACTCATAGAAAGACACAAATAATAATAAAAAAAGAATGTGTGAAAAGCCGTGATCACCTACATGTCTTGAAGGGACATTGTATTAAAATGCAATAAACCTTTTTAAATTGTTTTACTCAATTTTTTTTTCGTTCAGTCATGGGATGATTTATATTTTATTTTCAATTCCGCGTTTGATTAGTTTTTTTTTCTGTATTTAACCCATATTTTCTAATATTTAGGATCTTCTTTCATTCATTGTTTTTTCTTTCTTTTATTTATTCTTTCTTGTGTCACTGTCTTTGTTCTTTCTTTTTATTTTTATTCTAGTTTTCTCTAAATTTTTGAATTTTTTCTGTGTTTCTTTCTTTCTTTCTTTCTTTCTTTCTTTCTTTCTTTCTTTCTTTCGTTGCTGTCGTCATACCATTTTTGCATTTTCATTTTATTAATCTCTTAATTTTAAAAATTTCTTCTTTGTTTTTTTCTTTCTTTTATTCTTTCTTTCTTTCTTTCTTTCTTTCATTCTTTCTTTCTTTTGTTTTTGTCCTTATTCCACTTTCAATTTTTATTTCATATTTCGTTTCTAATTTTGGGGAATTCTTTTATGTGTTTTCTTTCTTTTCTTTCTTCACTTTCCTTTCTTTCTTTCTTTCTTTCTTTCTTTCTTTCTTTCTTTCTTTCTTTCTTTCTTTTACGTATGCACCTGAATATGCGCAAGTTCACTTATTTTACAACGAATTTTTTCAAGTCATGTGTCCTGTCGATGGAATGTCATTTTTAAAATACTGAAAGAAATGGAAAAAATAAGTGTCACTCTCTGCAATTTTTCCAACAAATTACCACGAATCCTCATTGTGTTTATAAAAAATAAATTAGATCGGACTTTTTTTCTTCTTCCTTATCGAAATACTTGCTCGTGTGTACACACGCCACACGACCTTGACAGAGAAAGTAAATACATGTGTGATTACAAATATATCTATTGTTTTGGGTTTGACAATAAACAACATCCCGTAGCAAGGACTCTTGATCCGGAGACTGGAGATTTTGTGGGACATGGAGCCACCTCATAATTGCTGTTGTTCGCAGGTCCACCCTGACCCGGGGTGGTAGCACCTGTTAGGATTTCAGCTATACGCAAATAGTGACCCCATCTCCACAAAAATAAAAACACTATGAAAGTACAAAAATATCTTTTTTCTTATAGTAAAATTATCAGCCAGACATTTCATCTGTAGTTGAAGATATGTAATTGCGTTCAAAATATTTAGATTTCAGCATTAATTAACCCATATAGGTGTTGATATACCGCTAAACAACCAACATAAATGAACCCTTTCATGATATTAATCCATATAATATCATACAATTTCTTAAAGAAATGAAACTCTATTCTAAAGTATACCAAGACTACAACATAAAACACACACACACTCCAGTAATTATGTCCACGCAGACACGTATATGCACAAAAGATGCGTATAATCTACCATGTATTCAGCTGTGAAGGCAGAATAACATATATCATATTTTTATTACTTCCAAGCTCCCAAGAAATTTAAATTTCGACATTAATTGATCTATATGGAGTTGATATGCTGTTAAAGAAACAAAACAAATCAAATACATCTACGAGCAAACTAACGTATTTCTTGAGCATAATACGAGACATTTTGAATGAAAATTAAAGACAAAAAGTGGGGGCGTATTATACACAAGTACACGGTTGTCAGAAATCGTTACTTAACTTAAAAAAGCCCTGATTTAAAACAGCAAGATTGCAAATCCACTCAGTTTTGCTCACAAGATTGATTTTCTTTTATTCTAATAAAATTTCTTTCTGTTCTTAACGAAAGACAATATTTTTTTATTATTTTCAGAGTTTATTTATATTATATATATATATATATATATATATATATATATATATATATATATGTGTGTGTGTGTGTGTGTGTGTGTGTGTGTAATAAAGTCATATCAAACAGACACGTAGGATAGATTAATTAACACCGTAAAATGTATTACCGAGTTTGTGTAGTTAACACCTTTCCCCGATAATTCGAAAATAAGTTTTGAAACTGAAATTAGGCGACGAAACACGTCCAGTTCATTTCTATTTTTTAATATTGGAAAAATGCAATATTTTACTGAAATATATATATACAACACCGATATTTTAATTGACAATATGGGTTTTTTCACCCCAAGTGAGGCGGGAGTGCCAATAGCACGCAAGGTGATACAGAGAGTGGGTGCAAGAGTAAAGAGGCGTGATAGAGGAAAGGATGAAGAGAAGCACGGAGAGTTAGATCAAGGCATTTGGAGATGTCGATTGAAATTGCATTTGAATATTTGGAGATTATAGCGATCAGGGGAAACAAGTAAGAGAAAAGGAGTTCCACAGAGAGGAAGTGCGAGACATGAAGCTATTGGAGTAGAAGATACGGCTACATTTAACCGTTTCGACACTGAAAGAGTGGGACTGAAATGCCGACCTAGTAGCACGCTTAAATTCATGCACTTTGGGAACTAGCGAAAGTAGCTCATACAAATTTTAAACAAAATTTACACACGGATGGCAGTACTATGGAATTGTATGATACTCAAGGATGTAATTTATTCCCTGCTTTCTGAAACACCGGAAGTTGTATTATACTAAATGCATAAGAAAATACTGTATTCGTCCGCTTGCCTCTGTCTTTTGACCAGAGCTGTCATCCATCTTTTTTCGCTCGACTTGTCGAGGCGTTAGATGTTCTCATCCTGTCAAACGTGATTTTAGCTGGCGTGTCTTTTTTCTCAAATTGCACATTCGTCGTCAACTTAAAACAACATTCTACCCACAGTTTTATTCCATGATTTTCTCACAGAATATATAACGCCAAATTTCTGTAGATTAACCATAGTGTCTTCTAGTAATGGAATTTTTGAGTTTCCCTTGATGTCATTTACTATGGAACCCAGTCATGCTATCAAATCTGCCATTAGGTCTCTTTACGGGTGCCGTGTAGCTTTTGAAATATTTTCAAGCTGGAGTTTCTCGTGGTATAGGAAGGTGGTCAAACCATGAGAAAAACGTCGTTTGAAAATCGTATAATTATTGGAATGTTGTGCGTTCGTATGATTGTAGCAATGGACGCTTCGATGTTAGCAAGCTTGTTTCGCTTGATCAATAATGTCTGAGTAGTGAGTTCGGTCCTCTCTAGGTGATCCTTCCCCTCGGCCTTATGCTATCTCTAAGCTACGCTTAGAAAATCGCTTTTGGACACTTCGACGAGGTGTAATGTTCAACGAGCTTGTCTTGTTGGATCAGTTACGACTGAGTAGTGAGTTCGATACTCACTGGATTATCCCTCCCCTTGACCTTGTGCCACCTCTAAGCTACGCTTAAAAAAATCTTTTTTTAGGGCACTTCGACAAGATGTAATGTTCAACGAGTTTCTCTTGTTGGATCAGTTACGATTGAGTAGTGAGTTCGATCCTCACTGGGTATCTCACACTTTCGGCCTTGTGCCACTTCTAAGCTTAGCTTAGAAAATTAGCATATAGTTATGGTAATACTAGCCGTTTCCTTATAAGGAAACATTCAACATTATTTACCGAGCAACCAGTTCAACTGTCGTTTGAAATTTACAAAATCTTTCTTAAAACAATTTCTCGGAAAAATAGGTTTCCCAATTCTACTAAATGTTATCACGCTTTCCAGTACTGATGGGGTTTCCTTCCTAACCTTTTGTTCGAAGTAGTGTGGAACATCAACATTTTGATTATGTCATTTTCTCCTTAAGTTATAAAGGCTAACGAATTTAAGTGTTGCTGCCGTTGAAAGTTCTCAAGTGATGTGGTTATTTGGTACAGTTTATATTTTGTGATTCTTCAGCGCCGACGAAGTTGGAAGTAGGAGGCTCCTCACTCAGAATTACGGGCTTCATTCGCTCGTAACCATTGGTCTGAGAAAGAGGTTGCATACAGCTGAATAGAAATTTCGGAACGAGTTTGACGCTATGCATGAAAGCCTTGATCTGACAATATTATTTAAATACATGATATGAGTTTTTATGTTAATGTTTTGGTTTTGTAGCAATTTGCGGTGTTGTGTGAAACTAACCCTAGAACAGCCTATTCTATGTTCAATCTTCTCTTCTATACCAATTTTGTTATAACAGATTCATACCCAGAAATATTTGAAGTGTTTAATATTTACTAATCCCATATGCTGAAATTTTATGAAGGATTCTGTGTAGGTGCCATAACTGCTTTGATTCCAGTTCATAGTTTCTGTTTTCGAAAGATTTATCTTGAGTACTATTTATTGGAACACTTGGTTGAGGATATTGATTTTTGTTCAAGATTATTCTTACTCTAAAAATACCCGAGTCATCGGCATAGACCACTTATCTCGAGGTTTGATATAATTCTTCGCTATTTGATGTGCATCACTTTTCTCAGTGATCTTCGTTGGAAAGAATCGATAGTGTTTTCAAGACTTTTGCTAAGTGTCCCTATTTCAAATTTACATAAGATACATTTAACATTTGCTTTAAAATTCTCGAACTCATCTCGTCATTTAAGTACTTACTGTTCAAGGTGGTTTCAAATATCCTAAAACTTTTTTTTTATAAAGTAAGTCCTTTCCTTCGCTTGTTTAAAAATGAACCTAGGTATTTACAAGCCTTCCTTTTTTAATCAATGGCTCCGGATCGGACACACTTGTTGGAAGAAAACACTGGAAGATAACTTCCTTTTACCTCATTGATGTCGCTTATGTGCTTTTTGAAGTAAGTCGTTCTCAGGGAGTTCGTTCCATGAACACAAGTTGTTTCAAAAACACCTTTGCGTTTCAGCTGAAGAGAAATTGACAGAATTCAACTTTCGCAAGCGATTGCTAGTGAGTTCGCCACTTTTTGTAACGGTTATGTGAGTATAATTATAAAATAAACATAACCCCAACTTTGGTACTGGGCGTTATCTCCAATTTAGATCCCAACAAGGCGAGTGGTGGAGATGGGATACCAGCCATTGTCTTAAAGAAATGCGCGCCTGAACTGGCGCCCGTCCTTTCGAAACTATACAACTACTGCCTCAAGGAATCTTGTTTTCCTGACTGCTGGAAGTCCTCTTCGATCGTTCCTGTCTTCAAGAACTCCGGCGACCCCTCTGACCCTTCCAACTACCGTCCTATCAGTCTCCTTCCCTCTTCGGCAAAATCTTCGAAGCTCTAATCAATACCGGGGTGGTTAACCACCCACATCCCATAATCTGCTCTCAGACAAGCAATATGGTTTCCGCTTTGCCAGATCTACAGCCGATGTGCTCACAGCCATCACTGAAACAGTCTACCGAACTCTCCAAAATAACGGGGAAGCCCGAGCCGTGGCACTAGATATCTCCAAAGCATTTGATAGGGTTTGGCACGCCGGCCTTCTCCGCAAGATCCAGGGTTATG